CGTAATCATCACCGATGATGACGTAATCACTGACGCACCGTCGTCGACCACGAGTCTCAGGGCTGGATCTGGTCATTTCGCATCAATCAGCTTTCTTATTCGCAAAAGCCAACTGGCGCTTCACCACATTGTCATACTCGCCTCGGGCAGCTGTGGCGTCTTGGGCTCATATGTTAGCCCAAAATTGTTTAACGCGAAGCAGTTTGCGATCACTTTAACGTATTCGCCGTCGCTGTTCACGACGGGTTCTCTTTGAAGAAGATGGAAACGCCTTTAAGTGCCCCACGTGCCATTTCTAAGGAGATGTGTGTTCTTGAGCGCGCCTTGTTGAACTTGTTGATTAATTGACTGCGTCGCTGCCTGTGTGTAGAAAGCGTTAGCATTTACGACCTTAATTAAAGCGTATCCAGTATCCCCCATGAAGTGCACGTCAAACTGTAGTCATTGCTTCGCGTATTTACACAGGAGGCAGCACTTCCACACAAACCGATCGTTGCCACTTCGTAGATGCACTGAAAACGCCATAAATCCCCGATGGACATCAACGATCGCAATTATGTTGTAGGCGGGAAAACTATTCCTACAAGTCCAGCTTCAAAGCGCTGCTGGGCGAGACACTTGATTAGCTTTTGGCCGATGGAACCAGCAATGCCTGGTATTCCGCACACGCCTTCAAACCAGAAGCTAACTCGAACCGCTCACATGCATTTCTTTGATAAGATCATTTAAAGCGTTTGCCCTCACTATAATAGGTGTAAGTTGACTAAGTGCTCCAAAGCTTGTGGACTTGCTAACGCCAGATGTTTGGCACGCGTCCTTCAGACTTTTGCCAGATCTGAGATAGCACATCACCAGAGCTACCTTCTCCCTCAGAAGAAACTTCCGATTCTTCCCTAAAGAGTTAGTATTGCCCTTGTAATTTAGATAGGTCATTTGGCTTCGACAAAAACTACAATAGTATCAATGCATCATGCTCTACCCGGAAGGCACTTCTAAAGCTGTCATGGTCTTGCCGCAGGTCATCATTTTGTTTAAAGATATTGGTTCGTACCGTGTTGACTTCTGTGGTGTCAGTTTGCATGCTTTTACCATCTGCATTGAGCAGTAGGCCGAACGCACAACGCAAGACACAAGCAGCGGTAACACTGTTACTAGCTGTTACTAACAACTAGTTCCTTTTCCATAGCTGAATGTCAAATGGAATAAGTGTCGTCGTCACCAATCGCTGAATTATCATCAAATACAGGGCAAACAGGAGATCAAACCTTATTTTGACTCTGAAGGTCAGATTAACTTTACGCTGAGAATAACTTCGTAACCAATACTTCTCCAGCCCACATAAGAATCGGCCGGAGAAGTATGATCCATGAGTTCAATTCGGAGGTAGGGTTAGAAATCTGGCGGTTGGAAACGTGTTACTACCACCGAAAATGGAAGATCTAGTAACCTTAAATCCTTTTCTGTCGGAAAAGGATACCATGGGACCCAATTCTCCAAAGCACGCCCTCCACCGACGAACCAAGTATGACTCTAACCAAAAGCAAAACATGGTGAAGCGGCATTGGTCTTATAGGATGCCTGACATAGGCCGGCCAACCATAGAGCTGGAAATTGTGGCACCGCACGAATTTACCCAAATGAAGAAGGGCATTTGGATTTCACCTTGTCTCTTTATTACTATCTATCAAACCCAGACCCTGCCGAAATCTACCGAAAATGTACCGAAAATTGCTCTATTTTTTCGATACATATTTTGTGGTATTACTGTCGGTGGTTTTATGATTATGCTCTTCAAGCAACATCATAAGCAGGAACAAATTCTAGCTGTGCAGAAGACGAATGGACGAAAGGCTGAAACCGCCCTATACCATGTTGAACCTTACTAAGCACAGTGTTGAGGATATCTACTGGTATTTAGTTCGTTTCTTTTCTCGAGCTTTTGTCATTCTGATTCGCTGAGTTCTTTGTCAGAATTTGTACCACCATTCATCAAGAAATACCCTCCGGCTCACGTGTCTCTCCTCTCCTCTGACTTCGATGCATATATCCAACGTGGCGGAGACTTTCCCAGAGAGTGCCAAATATCTCTTTAGGATTTTTTCTGGGGTATTTACAATATCCAAGAAAAAGACCGCAGACTCGGAGTCGTCGGAGTAACGATAGATTATGGTTGCCCCATAATCATACCACGGGCGCAACACGACATACGAAGCCACTGGGACGTTACTAAAACTTGCACTCAGATTCTCGCAACATCGAGGAAGCACCTCGTTTCCGCTGTAATCCTTAAGCAACGCTACACGGCCCAAAAAAGCATGCGTCTGTGTAACACCTTGATCTTGATATGCATGTCCTCCGCCGTTGGGTCGAACCGTTCTCGCTACTATACAAGGTTTGACGAGGTTCCACTGTCTGGATTGCCTGCATCGACGGTGGAAAAAATCATGGAGATACGTCTATTCAAATGGCTGGACAACTCGTTGACTCCAACAGAAATTGTATCAGATATAATAGGTGTAGAGTTGTAGCCAATCAGAGAAGGCTCAGTTTACTTTGATTCAGTATGTAATACAGAAAGGCAGATGTAGGGCGGCCGTGGAACCTTCTAGAAGGTTCCATCCGC